ACATGGCCACAGGCCAATGTGACAGAGGGGCTGCCTCAACGGAGGGTCCCTCTTCGCATACTGCCAAGGTGCCAACGGAAGCTGTCCAGCACACGGGCCTCCTCCCCCTCCTTCCATACCACTATCTGATACCTGCTGCTCCTCAGCTCCTGCCTGCAGTGGGGAGGCTGATCTGGCAGCAGAGCTCTGTCTCCATCATCCCGCAGTCACCGAACGCAGTTCTTCCCCCTCGCTCCAGTCACTGGCTTTATCAAGCAGCAGAAACGGGCATTTCATGGGCCCGGGAGATGACGTCAACATTGAAAGGACTGTGGATACTCTGAACTCAACACTCAGGGTTGTGATCGTGAAAATGAGCTCTCGGGAATTGTGACCTTAGGATCCAGGAAGCATGGGTTGTTACATTTCAAATCAACCCTGAGTGAAGATGTCTGCTCTCAGCTGACACAGGAGTGGCAGTCAGGGAGATATCCAGGAAGAGAGAGAGCGTGTCCCGCTCAGAAAAATCATAGTGAACCCTGCTTAATGGCTCCAGGGCAGGAGCCGCACAGGGCAGCCTGCTCTTGCTTTATGGGTGTTCTAGGAACATGCTCGCTCATTTGTGAGCTGTCTAGAGCTGCTTTCCCACGGAAAGGGCAGGGCTGGGTAGCTGTGGGGTCTGCAAAGGCAAAGGGTTGCTCTGTCTGGCCAGTTGCAGAAAAGGCATTGCTGGTGCGGGCGCCACAGGACCACACGGGGGAGGCTCCTCACTGGACTAGGCAGCTTCTCTGGCCAGGATCTCCTCACTACCCCCAGAACCTGACCTTGAGATTCCAAACACTAAGTCAAGCACTGGGCTGGGCAGACCAGAAAGCGAATAAAAGACCAGGCTCGGTGGTGTGCACCTCCAATCCAAGGACTCCATGAGCAGAGGCGGGAGAATTGATGCAACTTTGAGGCCAGTGAGGGCGGCAGCGTGAGACCGAGCTCGCACACAGAAAAAGGCAAGAGTGGCGACTCGGTGGGAAACAGAAAACAAAGGCCGGTCTGGGCTACATGGTGAGTTCTAGTCCAGTGGGGTACATGATGAGACTTGTCCAGATAAATGATAATAAAGCCAGGCGTGGTGGCATACACCGTCAGTCCAGTACTCAGGACGAAGAGGTAGGTAGAGCTCTGTGAGGTTGAGGGCAGCCTGGTCTATACAGTGAGTTCCAGAACATCTAGGGCTACAGAAGGCATCCGTCACACAGGGAAATCCACCCCAGCTGAGTAGTAAGGGAATGAGGGCACAGGTAAAGGAGGGCATTACACGTACAAGACCTGCAGAAAGGCAAAGGGGTCAACAAGCTACATTTATACTTGTAAAAAGAAAGTTATGGGTAGAAAGTCCATAAACAGCCTTCATCTACAGAAACCTGATGTATCAAGAGCCTGCTGAAATGCCTACTTTAAAACATACACACACACACACAATCACACACATACACACAATCACACACACACAATCACACACATACCACGCACACACATACACACAATCACACACATACACACAATCACACACACACACACAATCACACACATACACACATACCACACACACACAATCACACACATACAATCACACACATACCACACACACACAATCACACACATACAATCACACACACACAATCACACACATACACACACTCACACACACACAATCACACACATACACACACTCACACACACACAATCACACACATACACACACTCACACACACACAATCACACACATACACACACTCACACACACACAATCACACACATACACACACTCACACACACACAATCACACACATACACACACTCACACACACACAATCACACACATACACACACTCACACACACACAATCACACACATACACACACTCACACACACACAATCACACACATACACACACTCACACACACACAATCACACACATACACACACTCACACACACACAATCACACACATACACACACTCACACACACACAATCACACACATACACACACTCACACACACACAATCACACACATACACACACTCACACACACACAATCACACACATACACACACTCACACACACACAATCACACACATACACACACTCACACACACACAATCACACACATACACACACTCACACACACACAATCACACACATACACACACTCACACACACACAATCACACACATACACACACTCACACACACACAATCACACACATACACACACTCACACACACACAATCACACACATACACACACTCACACACACACAATCACACACATACACACACTCACACACACACAATCACACACATACACACACTCACACACACACAATCACACACATACACACACTCACACACACACAATCACACACATACACACACTCACACACACACAATCACACACATACAATCACACACATACACACAATCACATACACACACAATCACACACATACCACGCACACACAATCACACACATACCACACACACAATCACACACAATCACAAGCACACCCATACACACAATCACACACACACAATCACACACATACACACAATCACATACACACACAATCACACACATACCATGCACACACAATCACACACATACCACACACACACAATCACACACATACCACACACACAATCACACACAATCACAATCACACACAATCACAAACACACACACAATCACACACACAATCACACAATCACACACATACACAATCACACACATACACACAGTCACACACACACAATAACACACATACCACACACACACAATCACACACATACCACACACACACAATCACACACAATCACAATCACACACAATCACACACACACACAATCACACACATACACAATCACACACATACACACAATCACACACACAATCACACACACATACCACACACACATACACACACATACCACACACACAATCACACACACACACAATCACACACACACACAATCACACACATACACACAATCACACACACAATCACACACATACCACGCACACGCAATCACACACATACCACACACACACAATCACACACAATAACAATCACACACAATCACAAACACACACACAATCACACACACAATCACACACATACCACGCACACGCAATCACACACATACCACACACACACAATCACACACAATCACAATCACACACAATCACAAACACACACACAATCACACACACAATCACACACAATCACACAATCACAATCACACACACACATACCACACACACATACACACACATACCACACACAATCACACACACAATCACACACATACACAATCACACATACATACCACACACACACAATCTCACACACACACACACACATACACACACATACACAATCACACACACACAATCACACACACACAATCACACACACATACCACACACACACACACACACACACACACATACAATCACACAGCAGAAACAAATTTAACTACATTACAATTAAATGTGCCAGGCAGGTGGGTTAGCACACACTTGTCATCCCAGCATTTTGGAGGTAGAAGCAGGAGGATCAAGCATTCAAGGCCAGCCTGGGCTATGTAGCAATTTTGAGGCCAGCCTGGGCTACATGAGACCCTGTCTCAAAAATATGAAACAAAAGTTGAAGCCTTCTGCTTATCGAAAGGCGACTATAGAACATAGAGGCAAAGGGAGTCACGGGCTGGGCAACTGCAAAGCATTCATAATATAGTAACTCAGAACCAGGAGCTGGGAGATGGCTTGGCAGTTAAGAGGACTAGCTGTTCTTGCAGAGGACTGGGGTTTGGTTCCCAGCAACCACATGTCAATCCACAACCATTTGTAACTCCAGTTCCGAATCTGACATCCTCTTCTGGTCTCTGCGGGCGCTTACATATGCAAAACACTCATACACATAATTTTTTTTTTAAATTCAGGACTGGCACTATGTCTCAGTGGGTAAAGGCACCTGCTGTCAAGCCAGGGCTTTTGAGCAATTTTAAGGCTGTTGCTGAAATCATCTGTCTAGCTCTTCAAGTCCCTTCACAAACGGATTATATTTTCAGCATTTTTTTTTTTCTTTTTCTCTCTTTTTTTAAGACAAGGTCTCTGGCTGGCCTGGAACTCACAGAGGTCTGCATGTCTCTGGAAATCACAGAGATCTGCTTGCCTCTGTGCTGGGGTTAGAGGTGTGCACCACAACGCTCAGCTCTGTATTTTTTATTTGGAAGGGTACACCCCCTTCCTAATCCTTACCACGAAATGCCTAGACTTCAGGATAATGAAAATAAAATTGGGCCTCTCTCCACCAAAACTTCTACAGCTAACCCACCGCAGAGCCGTGCTGCCTCAGTGGAGGCATGGTACTTGCAACCTCAGGACCGGTATCAGTCTTGATGGGGAAGGTGAACATCACTGCCCCATCTCCTTCAATTGCTCCCAGTGAATTTTCTACAACTACTAGTTATTGTAAGAGAAACCTTACTACCCCAAGATCAAAAATAACTACTATCTGACCTTTCACAGAGAAGCTGGCCTTGAAGACCAGGGGGACAGAAAGGAGCCATTTACGATGGGACAGGGGCTCATTCCAAACACATGCTAAAAGCTCAAGTAAGAGTAAGGGAGCTAGGGGTGGAGCTCAGTGGTAGGGTGCTTGCCTAGGGTGTGCAAGGTCCTGGGTCCAACCCCCAGCACTGCAAACTGAAAAATGGTGTTTTGCACCACTGAGTTGGCTCAGTGCGTAAAAGCTCTTGCTGTCAACCTAACGACCTGAGTCCAATCCTTAGGATCCAGTTGAAGGAGAGAACTGATTCACAAATGTTGCCTTCTAACCTCCAATGCGTGCCACAGCACACGTAAGCCCAAAGTACACACACAAAATAAATACATCAATAATTTTTGCAAGAATTTTTTAAATTATAAAAATAAAATTCCCCCAAACAGGGAGTCAGGCTGCACCTCAGTTCCGATGAACGTGGGACGAATGTAGAGGCTGGCAGAGGTGGAGTGCGGGACCCACTCTTGATCCAACCGGACTAGCTGCTGGATGCACTCCAGAAGCTCCTCTTGGTCAAACACCTGGAAGGACAAAATCCCCAATGACTGCTGACAAAGGGCCGTGACGCCGTTAGATCATCACCAAGAGCAAAACTGCAGCACGCCTTCTGTGTAGCCCCAGCTAATCACAGTCCCGATTAGCTGGGGCTTTTTATTCACTCTCTAGCAACATAAAACAGTAGGAAAAGCATCCATAATAAACTCAAACAAAAATATTTTTCTGTGACTCTATCCCTCCCAAAAATAATTGTAGAAGTATGAAATAATCATATGGGAAAGATAAGAACAAGAGCTTCCTTGAGGCTGGCGAGATGGCTCAGCAGGTAAAGGCGCTTGCGGCCAAGCTTGATGACCTGCATTCAATCCCCAGGACACACATGGTGGAAAGAATTGACTCCCACAAGTTGTCCTCTGACCGCCATACTTGCCCCCCAATAAATGAATAAATAGATAAAGTAGAATTTTGAAAAAGGAAAAAACTTACAGTCCCTACTTACCATATTCCACATCAGTTATAATTGGCTCTTATAATCAAATGTAACAAAATATTATTATTAATTTTAAAATGGACATCTGTGACCTCTTATATGCCCATAGCAGTTATAATTGGATTTTACACTCAAATATAACAAAATACTAGGACTTTTGTTTAAAAAGTGACATCTGTGATTGCTTATCATATTCTGAATCAATTACAATAGATTTTACAGTCAAATGCAACAAAATATGACTTTTATTTTTAAAATAGACAGTATCTACATTTTTAAAGATCCAAAAAAATTCTTACCCAAGAAATGCAAAACACAAATCATGAAGGAAAATAGAGGGTTATAGAGACGGCCCAGGGGTTGAGAGCACTGGCTGCTCTTGCAGAGGACCTGAGTTCAGTTCCCAGTACCCACATGGCAGCCAACAACTGGCTGTTAACTCCAGTTCCAGGGGATCTGACACCCTCTCCTGACCGCTACAGATATTGCACAACACAGATACACTTACCTACATACAAGCAATACAGTCATACACATAAAATAAAAAGTAATAAATAAAATATTTTTTAAGTTAAAAGAGTAAAGTAAGATATTACGTTGGTTTATGGATATGACAAAAGTGGGTTTTTCTCGATGACATGTGACCTCTAGCCATGTGTGTTTGGCTGTGTTTACAGTATCACTCATGAGTTCCCTCCCATTGAGTGGGCTATAAGTCCAATTAGACAGCTTCTATGTACCCAACATAAAAGTGTCACTACTGCACCAGTAGAGGTTATTGGCTGGGCTGGTCATTGCTGTGGTTCATAGATTTTACAGCTGGATGGGATCATTGACTGGTTTTCTCCTTGACAGTTTACATAGTATCTTCCGATACTATAGGAGCTAGTCTTCAAGGAGGAAGGTTCCAGGTCATTTCCAGCTCCATTGCTCCAAATCCTGTGTCCAAAGTATGTCCTATCTTCAGCAATAGGGTCTTATCTTCAAATTCTGGGAGGCAATCCAGGGCTGTAGGAATAGCCTGTGTAATTTGGAGAATCTCTTGGACTACGCTGACTAACAACTTGAAGGGAGGTTTCCCCTATCTGGCACTGTGTTTATTATATAGCCTTTAACTGTACAAATGTGCATGTGCACACACACACACACACACACACACCACAAACATACACAATGTGTATTTTTCAATAAGCTTTTGAACTAATACATTTCCCTAATAGCCACCCACCACCAGGACTTCCCCACCATTATGGACTGTGAGCCCTCAAACTGTCAGCCCAATATAAACCTACCTTAACTGGCTTTTGGTCAGGTGCGTTGTCATAGCAACAAGAAAAAAATAGCCAATGAGGGCTGGAGAGATGGCTCAGCGGTTAAGAGCACTGGTTGCTCTTGCAGAGGACCCTGGTTCAATCTCCAGCACCCACATGGCAGTTAACAATCATCCATAACTCCAGTTCCAGGGGATCCAACGCCCTCTTCTGACCTCTGCAGGCATTGCACAACACTGTGCATTTATATGCATGCACATAATACACTCATACACATAAAATAAAAATAAAATATTTAAAAGAAAAAAACGGGGGTCTGGAAAGATGGCTCAGCAGTTAAGAACACTGATTGTTCTTGCAGAAGACCCAGGTTCGAATCCCAGCACCCCCATGGCAGCTAACAACTGTCCACAACTCCAGTTCCAGGGGATCCAACGGCCTCTTCTGTCCTCCGTGAGCATTGCGTGACACAGGTGCACTTACCTACAGGCAGGCATAACACTCATACACATAAAATCAATAAAAAGAACAAAATAAAACAGCCCGTGTACTTGCTGACCTGAATCTGCAGAAGACAGGAAACGTCTTTTAGTCCTGAAAAGCAACCTCACCCTGTGTCAGGGATGGAAGCCAGGCACGTCACCTCCTATCTAGAAGTATACGGTATAAAACACACTCCTTTCAAAATCACTTCTGAATCTTAACAAGCTAGGCTACAGGCAAGACCCAATGGATATGAAAACCATCTTGGTGGACATTTTTTTTTTATGTCTCCCAAACAAAACTTGGGAAAATAATCATTTATAACATCACTGAGGGCCAATAAGACGGCTCAGTGGGTGCAAGTACTTGCTGACAAGCTTGAGGACCTGCGTTCGGTCCCCAGGACCCACATGGAGGGAAGACAGAATGGACTCCACAAAGCTGTCCTCTGACCTCTACACCAAATTAATTAATTAATTAATGTAACAAAAATTTAAAAAACAAAATTTTACCGCATAGTTTTACTTGCTATTACGTACAGCTAGACAAATGCCTGCCCTGCGTTGTCTTCTATTTTCATATGATCATTTCCTTCATGCAGCCTTGAAATCTTATTTTAGCTTCAGACCTGTTTTCTTCCTAAGTCTTCTCTTTCTCACACCAGACTCCCAGACACTCCTGAAGATGCAGAAATTCTGTGCAGCGGCCACACGGAACCGGCCATGTCCCTGTTCTTTAACCTCATTAATCACAGGCGATCATATATAAAGTCAGTACTCATACAGTTTGCATTGAACACCGATGCAATGATTCAGAAGTCATTTTTTTTTTCATGGCAAACCCAGAATTGGTCGGATGAAAGGGAACACAAATTTCCATACCGGCAGAGTGCTCCTCACAGCAGATCGGCACATCCTGTGCATGTTGAGGTCTGGTCGGAACAGTCGGATTTTATTATCAACTCCTCGAAAGGCCTTCAAGCCTTCAAACAGCTGAGGATCAAAGGGAAAGGCTTAGAAGGAGCGAAAGAAGGCAACACTGAGATGTTTCTACAGCTGCTGCCTCAGGGGACAGCCAGAGCTGCTGCCCTTGATCTCTTCTGGACGTGGGTTAATCAGCTGACAGAATATGTTGCAGTAACAAGGAAGGAAAAAAGAGAGGGAAGGATCCTTTCAATGGCGGCACCTGAGGGAACCCTGGCTATCCTCTGCTCAGCAGGAGCCACTCAGCTGCATAACACAGCCTATGGGGATGGAACACCACCACTACCGTGTGGCCAGAAAGAGATTGAAGGTGATCTCTGTGGACTCAGGCTCAGGCAAGTGCCCACATATCCTTCCGCTTAAACTAATTCATTCAGGGACCGGTTCAGCAGGTAAGAGCACTTGCTACTCAAGCCTGATGACCCGAGTTCTATCACCAGAACCCACAGTGGAAAGGAGAGAGAGAGAGAGAGAGAGATGTGTGTGTAAGAGAGAGAGAGAGAGAGAGAGAGAGAGAGAGAGAGAGAGAGCGAGCGAGCACGTGTACTAGAATGATCTTTACTTTGCAGTGTGGGTTCTGGTGATGGAACTCAGGTCATCAGGCTTGTGCAGCAAGTGCTTTTACTTCAGCAACAAGAAATTAATGCAGTAGTTCATGACATTAACAACTCAAGTGAGAAAAAAAATACCTAACGATCTCCTTGGGTTAGATAAAGCATCTGAGAAATCTGAATATTCATTTGATTTTTGAAAGCTTCCTGGGCTAGCACACATCTCCCCTCCACCTTTACACCCGATCTCTGCCATGGCTGTGGCACACAGGAAAACTATATCTGCCACTGGCCTGTATCTGGAATGTGGAAAGGGACTTCTGATAGATTTTTCCAGATCAATACATGGATTCCACTTACTATCACTTCAAAACTGGACAAGGAATGATTCCTTAAAGGAAAATGTCACTGAGAAAGCTAATGCCGTTATCAATGACGTTTGCAGTCTGTTCATTTATTAAATTTATCTGCCCCACGAGTCCACTGGTTGGGGTTCAACTCCAAAGGAAATAAGGGGAAGGGATGCCCAGCATGAATGGGTTCATGACAAGGGACCAGCCCACGGCTCGATGGAGATTGGCCCCGCGAAGTCTGTAGAGCAGGAAGGGAAGGTACCTCCACCCACTTCCTCCTGGGTAGGAGCTGTAGTTTAAGTGAGATTGACAGTCCAGGGAAGCGGAAGAGAGAGGGAGATGGGAAGGAGAAGGGAGGAAAAGGGAGTAAAGAGGAGGGAGGAGCCCAAATTAGCGTATTTGGAGACACTCCTCTTTAACGTCCCAAGGCCTGGCTCACCAAAGACTATTCTGACCACCTTCACATAAAATGACGGGGGACATAAATCACAGGCGCAAAGATTTCTTCCCCACAGCGCCTAACTGCATGTTCACTGAAGAGAAGGTAAGTTTCTGCCTCAGAATGACCACTGCCTCCCTCTCTCCTCCTGGCTCTCTCAATGACACCCTGAGTGTCCCTTCAAACTAGAAGGAAAATACAGAGGACAAGTTCAGATTAACTGCACTGATACCTGAAACTGACCTCATAACAGAGCTTGTCCTTTGAATAGACCTTTATCCATTTCATAAGTCTGCAACATACAATGATTTTGGATGCCAGTGACTCTCTGAGCTACGCAAACAAAGCCTGAGAGGTTCATACCATCAGTGTCCCCACTAACACCAGCAGCAGGCCTTTTAAGAGCTCAAAGTGATAGAGTGTATAGAAAATTCTAGTTATGGTGTTTCTTTTCTTTTTACTGTATTTTATTTATAATAACTGTTGAGCTTGCATGTATGTATGTGCACCACATGTATGCAGTACCGATAGGGGCCAGAAGACAGGGGTCAGATATCCTGGAACTGGAGTTACAGATGGTTGTTAGCTGCCATGTGGGTGCTGGGAATTGAACCTAGGTCCTCTGTAAGAGCAGCCAGTGCTCTTAACCACTGAGCCACCTCTCCAGCCACTCCTTTTCTCTTTCCTGGTACTGAGGATTGAACCCCAGGCTTCATACATGCTAGGTATGTGCTCTACCAACTGAGCTACATCCTTAGCCCTCAAAATTCGATCTTCGCTTGAGCAAGAATGTTATGATAGGTAACAAGTTGTGCCATCATTTTATTTGAAGCAACAGAATCAGTTCATTTTCAAGAAAACATATGCTAAATGCCTAAATCTGAATAACTGTCCCATGACCTTTCAAGTAAAAATAGCCTTTGTGAAAAAAGCAGTTAGTGCCACTCATGAATTCCTGGCGAAGGCACAGTGGTGCTTCTGTACCTCAAGCACTCTGAGGAGCAACTTGTCACACAAAAGTAGGAAAACAAGGGGCTAGATAGACATGAAGTGTGCTCTCTGCTCTTGTGGAAGATCTGAGGTCAATACCCAGCACCCATGTCAAGCGGCTCACAACAGTCTGTAACTCCGGCTCCAGAGGGATCTGCTGCCTCTGGTCTCTACAGGCACCTGCACTCATGTATACATACTCACACACATGCACATAATCTTAAAAATAAAATAAACCTTAAAAAATAAAAATAAGGGGCTGGAGAGATGACTCAGAGGTTAAGAGCACTGGCTGCTCTTGCAAAGGACCCCAGTTCAGTTCCCACCACCCACATGGCAGCTAACAACCACACGTAACTCCAGTTCCAAGGGATCCAATGTCCTCTTCTGACCTCCGCAGGCATTGCACGACATGGATGCATTTACATACATGCAGGCAGTACACTGGAGAGATGGCTCAGAGGTTAAGAACACTGACTGTTCTTGTAGAGAATCCAGATTTGATTCCCAACACCCACATGGCAGCTATAAACCGTCCTTTATCCAGTCCCAGGGGAATCCAACACCCTTTTCTGACCTCCGAGGCATTGCACAACACAGGTGCACTCACATACATGCAGGCAATACACTCATACACATAAAATAAAAATAATAAAACATATTTTAAAAGAATATCAGTAATTTGAGGGAGATTTTTGTTTGTGTTATGTTTTTCAGGCTGGGGCTAGAACACAGGGCTTTATATAAGCTCTTTAAGGACTCTAACACTGAGCTACATTCCCAGATCTGAGATGTTTTTTAAGCTGCTCTGATGACTAAAACCCAACCAAGCTTGGCTAGGCATGGTGGTTCAGGTCTGTAATCCCAGCATTTGAGAGGCTAAAGCTAGAGGACTATCCTGAGTCTGAGGCTAGCTGGGCTACATAGGGAGTTCCAGGTCAGCCATATCTCAAAACTAGAATTCCAACTCACCTATATTTTCTTTTTTGAAGTACTTTTTTAATTTTATGTGTATACGTGTATTGCCTGCATGTACATAAGTGCACTATATTGCACAATGTTTGAGAAGAGGGCATCACATCCCCTGGAACTGGAGTTTCACACAGTTGTTAGCCGAGATGTGGGTGTTGGGAATCAAACCCAGGTCCTCTGCAAGAGCAGCCAGGACTCTTAACCACTGAGCCATCTCTCCAGCCCTTCATCTACATGTGCAAAACTGAAAGTGGCCAAAAAATCTTCTTTAATTCTAAAAAATGTCTTTAATTCTTCCAAATTTACCTCCTACAGGGCAGCAGTTATCAGACTGTGATTCCTGAGAGTTGGCTTCAAAACTGATTGGAAATCAGATACTGTGGTGACCGAGGAGTGCAGGGTCCTAGATGCCACCAGACCACCAGCAGCCCCCTCGAAAGGGGAAAAGACCGTTCCATCTGCTGTTCATCAGGGACTATGGTTTGGTACGAGCAATTCAAAGCTCAGGCAAGGAAACACCACTAAGAGTCGCCTGGGAACGGAATGAAATGCTCAGCCTGGCATGGTGGTGCACACCTCTAATCCTGGCACTTGGGAAGCAAGAGAAGCTAGGGTTCAAGGCTAGCCTCAGCTACACAATGAGTTCAAGGCCAAACTAGGCTATATAAGACCCTATCTTAATTTTTAAAAGAACATTAAATTCATCATTTTGCAGGTACAGTAGGGCGGTGACTATGTTTCCCAAACAATCAGCATTTACAATTCTGAACAAGTTCATGAAACAGCCCCTTAGTGATTTTCAAGTTTATATTTAGGGTTGCATAATGAGTAAGGCGCCCCACACTGAACCCTGGCTCTGCCCACCATACTATGTGATCTTAGTTCAAAAGGACTTTTTTTGAACCTCTTCTAGAACAGAAGACAGTCCAGTGTCAGGGGTCACGTAACGTGCACTGTATTAATAAACCGTCATGTGCTGTTTGAGCTCAATGAGAAGCAGCACCTCCCGTGGTTCCCGTGTACTCACCTCCACCGCGTAGTGTAAGGCGGAGGCCGCAGGGTGCAGGGACAAGTTTTCAAAAGGCTTGATGTGAGGTTTCTCCCATCCAGACTCCGAGGACCACGCCACTGTCAACATGTGATCGGTAAACACAGTTCCAAACACCAAGCTACTGGGGTCTGGTTTTTCCTTTAAGATGGTGGCTGGAGTGATGATTAGATCTTTGGCCTGGGGGAGAAAAATCAGTACCATGAAAGAAAAGTGACCAAACACACTGAGCCAGAAGATCCAGGGGGCCAAATGTGACATCATCCTTCAACGTCATCATGTCGGCAACTAGCATAGAATTTAACACCATGGGCAGCTGAGGATGTGGGTCAGTCAGTAGAGTGCTTGTCCAGCATGTACAGAAGCCCAGTACCAAAGGATGTAGAGGTGCAAGTGTGTAATCCCAGCATTCAGGAGGTAGAGGCAGGGGGATCAGAAGCTCAACGTTATATGGAGAGTCCCTGCATAGAAGGTTTGGCTAGCCTGGGCTACAAAAGACCATATCTAAAAACCAAACCAAAACAGCCGATGACCCAAATACAAGGCATGGTCTGCATATCAAGTTCAAGGCCACAAGGGCTACCAGGAGACCCTGTCTCAAAACAAACAAGCAGGCATGCCCTTAATCCCAGTGCTTGGAAAGCAAAAGCAGGCAGACAGAGCTCTGTGAGATCAAGGGCAGCCTGCTCTACATAGTGAGTTCCAGGTCAGCTGGGGTTACAAGGAGACCCTGTCTCAAAAAACAGAAAAAAAAAATAATAATAACAACACATAATAAACTAATATAATAAAAACATTTTAACTTTGCACGAGGTCTGTAATCCCAGCACTCAGGAGCTGAAGGCCACAAGTTTGAGGCCAGCCAAAGCTACAAAATTAAGTACCAGGCAAACAAAACCTCTACAGTTATTGCCTCTGGGAATCCAGAAACCAAAATTCGGGGCGGGGGGTGGGGGGCAACGCAGTGGAAGGTGTGCAGAAAGGGAAGCACCGCTTTTCATTCCCATCAGCACTTTGGAAAGAAGGGATACCTCCAGGATCCACACGGTGCTGCACACAGTGACCACAAAACCACAGAACATCCCTGAAAACTAAGCCACTGTTCCCGGCGGTGGCACTGCACCTGCCCAGAGCAGTCCTGACACAAGCCTTGCGCCTCCTCCGGATGTGCTGCGATGCCCTGCGAGGAGACGTGCTCTCCTCTTTGAAGATGGACACGGGGAGGATGAAGTCTCGGACACAAACCCTCTGTTCTGGGAGGAGGAGATGAAGAACAAAAGCCCTCCTATTCGAAGACACAGAGACAAGGGCTTAGGAAACGACATCACAGGGCCGTTCGCCACAGAGCCAGTCTGACCAGCACAAATGACCAATGATACAAGCGTGCACAAGTCGCCGCAGTTCTAACCCTGAACTTGAGAGCGGTTGTTGAACGCAGTCCACGAAGTCCCCTGGGGGGCAAAGATTTTTTTTTTTCCTGTCACAGTCACATGTAGTTCAGGCCAGCATAGAACTCTACATAGGACCACCTTGAACTCATGATCCTCCGGCCTCCGCCTCCTGAATGCTGGAATTACAGGTGTGTGCTACCCTTCCAGGTTTATCTGGTGCAGGGGATCCACCCAGGGCTTTTTATATTTTTACACCCCAAGGAAGCACTCTACCAACTGAGCTGCATCTCCAGGTCCCAGCTCACAATTTCTTTCCTTTTTTTTTTTTTTTAAGCATGGTCTCCCTGTAGCCCCAGCTGGCCTAGAATTCCCTACGTTGACCAGGCAGGCCTCAAACTATCCCCCTGCCTCTGCCTCCCAAGTGCTGGGATTAAAGATGTGGCCCCCAACCCACAATTTCTTAGACTAAGAATACCAGTAGGTTACTCAAAGGCAAGAAAGGTCTGGAAATAAATAGGAAGACAGAACATGAGGGGCTGAAGGCAGATAGTGGGGGCTGGAGAGATGTTCAGCAGTTAAGGGCACCGACTGGTCTTGCAGGGAACCGGAGTTCAGTTCCCAGCACCCACATGGCGGCCAAGGACCACCTATAACTCCAGTTCCAGGGGATCTAATGCCCTCTTCTGATCTCCAGGAGCATTTCCTGCCTGTGGGTGCACTTAGATAAATGCAGGGAGGCAAAACACTCATACACATAAAATACAATTTTTTTTAAATAAAATAAATTCAAATAAAAAAAATTCTCACCAGGCACAGTGGTGCACACCTTTTATCCCAGCACTTGGGAGGCAGAGGCAGGGGGATCTCTGTGAGATCAAGGCCAGCCTGGTCTACATAACAAATTCTAGGCCAGATGGAGCTACAAAAGACCCTGTCTCAAAAAATAAAGATGAC